GTGTGTGCGTGTGTGTGTGTGTGTGTGTGTGTGTGTGTGTGTGTGTGTGTGTGTGTGTGTGTGTGTGTGTGTGTGTGTGTGTGTGTGTGTGTGTGTGTGTGTGTGTGTGTGTGTGTGTGTCACTCACATGCTCAGCCCCGCCGCAGTGCTTTGTTCTTCACTTGCTGCACTGTCAGCAGCTTCTCTGTGGATGATACTTATGATGTGACAGACAAAAGGGACACAATAAGGAAGATGAATAGTTTGTTTGTGTATGTGTTTTCCCTTTGCTATACTTTTTTATATTCTTCTTACTATTTATCAGTACAATCATGTACAACTACTCTACTGTTTGCCATTTCACATTAATGACATAATATACATTAGTGGATGAATGCTCTGCTGAAGAATAGTTGTGGGCAACATTAAAACAAAATAAGATTTGTAAAGCTATCAGACACATCAGACAGCCAAAGCTTAGTCATCCAGTATTCCTGACTGACTGTACATCCCTCTTTCTATAATTGAGCAAAAAACAAGACATTTAAAAAAGACATTCAGCATTTTCTTTTCTCAGTTAAAGGTATAGCTGTTGTTATTCTGAGATACTTAAGCATATTTCCTGCAGTAGATGGTGGTCTGCACGCCACAAGTTTGGAGAAATAGACAGTTGCTTATAGCACTGAATAATATTACACTGGCTGCAGTTAAGTACATCATACAATCATAATTTAAACTATCTAAACTATCCTTTTAAAGTATTTGCTTTCTCAGTCACTGCCTTCCAACTTCATCCTGTCTTTCTTTGTCCATAAGGGGTTTCTGTTACTTCAACTCTGTGGCCATAGCCGCCAAGCAGCTCCAACACAAGCTCAGCGTCAGCAAGGTCCTCATCGTGGACTGGGTGAGTTGGCCTCTTGCTGGAGGCTTCACTGCTGTTGTTTATACTGTGAAATCAGAGATCCTATATTTCTCCCACAGTGAAATTATTCAACATTTAACGTATCATAGTGTTGGAGTTCAGTGCCTTGTTCAAGAGCACTTTGACAGTAAGTGGTCTTGAACCGGCAACCCTCCGGTTCCCTAGACAGGTCCCTTTGAACAAAGCTGCTGCTTCCCTAATTTGAATGTATCTTCTTTGGTATTGGTATGTGTAATATTCAAATGTGTTCCCTCTTTCTGTTTGCTAGGATGTTCACCATGGAAACGGCACCCAGGAAGTGTTTTACAATGACCCCAGCGTTCTCTACATCTCACTTCATCGCTACGACAATGGAAACTTCTTCCCTGGCAGTGGGTCACCAGTGGAGGTGGGTGTTGGCCAGGCCACGTTGTAGTCCTTCGTTACAGCTGAGATGGGAGATACATATATGTATTTTGATTAAACAATTGCCCTGCATGAATAAAATACAACATGTGTTTTATTTTGGGTTCAGGTTGGGTCTGGAGCAGGCCAGGGCTTCAATGTGAATGTGGCATTCACAGGAGGCCTGGACCCCCCCATGGGAGATGCTGATTACCTCGCTGCATTCAGGTACAGCCAACAGCTCTGTTCAAAACACTGTAACACAAGCTGACATTATAAGAGATAAGTTTAAGTTTTTACGAATTTAAAGGGTTCATTCACAAAAAATGCTTGATTCTGTTGGGCCTTGTATGTCGTCAGGATTTAAGCCCCAGTAAGCTGTGCATCAAAACAGCCGGGATGACGTATTGGCCACAAGTTTATTTAAACTCAGCAACATCGATCATTTCAATCAGGCGCAAAAAACAACAACTTACACTTCTGCCAAACTTTATGGCTGTGTTTGTCTTTCTGTCTCTGCATTTCTAAACGTTAGCCCAAAAGTTAACCCAATAAGTATTGAAGCAGATTATCTATGTTTGATGATTGTGAATTATAATGAGTTATAATGAGTGAGCGAGTAATCGCACAATTCCTCTGATTTCCTTCACACTGAGCCACAACAAACACGAGTCGATGATCAGAGGCTCAGCAACACAGCGCCTCTGACACACTTCCTGCGTAATTAATAATCCTCCTCATTTGGAGAGCATGTGTCTGGCGCTCCCTGTTTCCAATAACTTGCCGTAAACGGTCTCCAGGTCCCTTGTTTGACAGACTGCGGATCTTTACTTCCTGTTTGTGGGTTGGATAATTGTCATCAGGGTGTGTTTGGCTCCAATAAAGTTTCAGCAGTGTGGGCTCTTTGGTCGTCTGGTGCATGACCGCAAGGTTACTGGAAAAGTCGCAGACGTACAGAAATGGGTGTAAATGTGCGTATGCTCACAAGAAGGCATATGTTTACACAGTAGCATACTTGGGGACCAACACACACGTTCACACACATGCATAATGTGTGGGCCATGATCTTAAAGCCCACGTCATACTGTCCCGAAATTGACACCAGATGGACACACGATAAAGAAAATGTTCAAATTCGGCTCTGATTGTAACAACATCGGGCCATTCGTGATGGCATCTTAGGCCATCGTATGACCGCCAGTGGAGTTTCTCAGGCTCCAGCAGCAACTTCGTGAGCGGTGGCAAAATCTTTTGCATGCCAAAAAATTGCCGAAAGACCTTGCAAAGGTTCATTTTCAAATCGTGTCATCTTCGTCTTTACTTCGTGTGATCATCGGTGCCATCGGGCATTTTTCGCCTCACGAAGACAATACGAAGGAAACAAGAAGCTGCTTGATTGTCTTAGGAAGGCAACATGACTACGTGAAGCCCTCACAATGCCGTCGTGTAGCCATCGTATTATAGTACAATTTGTGTTCTGTGAAACTGAAAAGGATATTACATTGTTTTTGTTACTTTCGTTGCAGTTGTATGTCTTACATTTAATTTAGGTTAACTTCCTGTTTTATTTAGATGCTTTTATTTTGAAGGTGAGCTTACGCTGTTGACAGGAAGTGGTTGTTGCTATGGAAACAACATGACGGAGTGTGTGGTTCGGGTGCCATTGTGTGGCCTTCTGTAGGCATCGTACTTGCTTCGGCTGTTGCTTGGCTGTTGACCAAGTTCGGGGCCATCTTCGTGCGAAATTCACAATTCCATATGCGTGAGTCCATCAGGTGTTCCATTTCGGGACAGTGTGACGTGGGCTTAAAGGATGAAACCCATTACCCGAAGACACTGTACAGTTAAGTTCTTAAATGAGTTTTAATGTGAGCTCTAATTGCGTCGTCATGCCATATTGTGAATGTTTTGTGCTTTGAGTAAACCTGGCCGCCTTTAGCACGACACTATATCTCTCAGATGGATGCAGAAACAGAGAACATCGTGCACAGTTTGTCTCACTTAGCTGGGTTTCGCTCAACCAGCATTCCTTTTTTAGATGGTGAGAGGGAATTGCTAATTGGGGGGTTAATAATCTCGAATTATCCAACAGTGTCTGCTCTTTAGAAAGTAGGTTGACACGATTTTCAAGTCAGAAAGGTCTCAACCCCCTTTTCAATTACAACCGGCAATTAAGAAAACCCAAAATAATTTGCTTTCAATGTTTAAAGAGGAAATATCATGCTCATTTTCAGGTTGATATTTGTATTGTGTGTCTCTACTCTGAAATGTCTCCATGCTTTAATGTTCAAAAAGCTCTTTATACACAATACAAATATCAACCTGAAAATGAGCATGATATTTCCTCTTTAAANCCCCCCCAGGAATATCAAAAGAACGGCGTACCTTCCCATTCGCCAAGAAAGCTCCCTAATGATTCCATTTCAAATAATTTAAAAAACTAAAAAAGAAAAGCTTCAACATATTCACATAAAGATTTTTTGCAATTTTGTTCTGCTTTTCATCTTGTCCATTAAAGTGCCATATTGTTCAAGTTCAATTACGAAACTAAAAGTACAGTTTTGAGTCCGACCATTTTCATTTGTGAATAAAATATTTGTCAATAATAATTAGAAGCTGAGTAATCGGCTGCAGAGCAAGCTGCTGACGTATGTTATACTAAAACATCTCAGAAAAAGGTATATAAATGTTTGAGAAGTTTAAAATGACAAACATGTATCATGCTGTCATGCATAGGTATTTTCCTGTCAGCAACTGTGTGTTAAAATACCCATAATACCATAAGCCAGGAAAAGGTTTAGTTTGTCCCAATATACAGTTGCAGTATGCCAAAAATACCAGGATGTCATACTGCATCGAGTGACATGTATCATTCATCATTCTTTTCTGCTGTCCTGGCCCACAATCCTTTGCGCAGGGGTTATTTTTCATATTCACAGACACGGACAGATCCTCTCTAGCCATATCTCAGGTAAAGGCTACAGTCACTAGCCTTGTCTGTCTGCTGTTTGTTTCTCAGCAGGCTGCATACAGCTGGTTTATCTGGAGAAGTCTCCCTGCTACAGCTGGAAAAGTGAGAGCGAAGCAAACCAGTAAAGTCCGGGGCAATAAAACCAAAACAAGCGTTTAACAAACACTGAGTTGATGCTGTGTCAGATGTCATGGCCAAGTGGCCTACGTGTGCCACCGTTTGGGAATCAGTAATCTAACAGATACAGGGAAAGATTCACATGCAGTTAAGGTTCTGTACAATTAGCTCTTAACTCGCTAGTAAGTTACAGAGTGTCTCCTTTTAGATGCTATAGTGTATTAGGAGGTTTTCTGAATGAGCTGTTTGAGTGAAAATAAACAACTACATTTAACCTAAAACAATGAGCTGACAGAAGCTAAAACGCTATGGGACCTTCAGGGTTAGGTGAACCGAAAAAAACAAAAACAATACCTATACCTTAATCAGCACTGATGTCAGGATCACTCAATGTAAAAAACACTAGAAAAACTAACAATATATTATTTCCCTTTCAAAGAAATATCTGCACATGGTGGATATTTTGAAGTAAACCAAATCTACCAACAATTATTTTTATGGAAAACAACTAAATGTGTTTTCTCTATTATAAAATGACAAACAGATTTCTATCAGGTATTGTACCTAACATCCTGTAACTGATTTGTTTATATAGTGGACTGTCTTTATTTGTGCGTCTGTGTAATGCATGCCACAGTGTAAACCCATGAATTTGCAAGCATGTGTGTGTGCCATGTGTGTGTATACATAAGCTGCACATGTGATAACATTCTCCCATTTCTCTGGGTGGAAATATTTATGCTAAGTCCTCATTTGAGCATGCAGTTCAAACAGACGGGGTCCGGTGTTCTTTCCCTTTTTTCTGAATGAGTCAGCCTCCGGGGGGCCTTCCCAGACAAGACCAAGCATTGTGAGCGTGGCCCGCCCCCTCCCCTCTTCCCTGACCCAATACGTGTGTTTATATCAAGACCTGATATCCATTTTCCGTCACACAGTCCCGTTGCTAAGAGGTATTTATTTTTTAGCGAGAAAGGAAGAGTTTCGAGGGAGCTGTGATGTGTAAATAGTTGTGATCCGTCACAGGTGCCCCATTGCCTGTGGAGAGGACGCACGGTTTGATGACGGATACAGAAAATAAGATGAAAAGGAATCAATGAGTTTGGCTGCTCAGCTGTATTTATGGGCGCTAATTTCCACAAATACTCAAAGCTTTGCATGAGAGAAGGATTGTTACTTTGACTCAGGCTCTCTGGTGTAAATATTTCTAGTCATTCAACACTAGACTGATTGTGTTTATATTCGTTTGGTCATTGTGTGACTGCACGCCTGGTTTCGTCAGAGTTTGAGAAACTGTTACTCATATCTCAAACCTCAAACTATCACATTTGTTAGAGCTGCACTAAATAATATGCTTTATATTAATAATGGATCAAATGACGATGTCTGCATGAAAGATGTTGTTGTATATTGCTTTAAGCCACCTTTAGGATATTGTTGTCGTTTTCCGCACTTCAACTTGACTCTCATTGACCCTGTTTCCAGCCAGCTGTTTTCTGTGAAAGAGCTCTGATAAGCACATTACACACTACAAGTCTAACACCAAACAGCAGACACATGTAGTAGTGGGGAACATAGATGAGCATCTAGGAGATAAGAGATAAACGAAATAGAGCTAAAAGAAGAGTGAGGACTGGACTTAAAAACAACTTTTCCAATATGGCGGTTATATTATTGTAACTTATTTTGCTGTTCTGGGTTGCCTTGAAACAAATACATGTATGTTCAATTCAAGGATTCACATCAAAACGCATGTATCCTTGAGGACTACCATACATTTTCCTACATCGATTGTATTCATATTTATATCTTCATTGCTACGTGACGTCTCTTGGTACAAATGTTGATAACCCTTTGGAAGCAATGGGCAGCCCCAATGAAACAGAGTATTCAGCACCTTGGTCACTCAGGAGTCCTAATACCTATCACTGTTTGAGAGTCCCGGTCGAGAATGAATCCTATTTCATCTCAATTCTTTAAACATTACTTAACCATATGAAGCATGTGCAAGTTCAGAGAAGTTTACCTACTTTTTTTCCATATAAATGATCTCTCTCTCCTCCTGCTGCCTCTAATAAGCTGATTATAGGTTAACCCTATTTTTTTTAACCAACTACATTTTACCACAATCTGCAACCAGAGGTGGGAAGTAGTGGAGTACAAATACTTTGTTACTGTACTTAAGTACATCTTTCTGGTATCAGTACTTTACTCCACTACTTATTTTTCTGACTACTTTTTACTTTTACTTCTTACATTTTTAACACAAATACCTGTACTTTCTACTTCTTACATTTTCAAAACAGGCTTGTTACTTTAGTTTTAATCTGTGTTTGGTGGCTTGATCAATATTATTTGAGTCATTGCGTGCACACAACACAATTATTGAGTTGGGTTGTTCATTAATTGATCCCACAATTTTAAATAAAGTTCACCATATAACTCACTTCAATTCAGTTTTTTTTCTAAAGCATTACGGTAATAATTGTTGTGATGTTTCCAAGGAAGAGGTAGAGTCACCTTAGAATCTACAATGTAAACGTTTATTTCCCCACTTGTTTTCTTTGCTTGTGTTCTAAATGGTTGTTGTTCAGTGTTGAAACATTAGTTACCTAACAATTACATAATTACATAATTACAAATCAAAATAGAAGATCTTTATTGTTCTATTAATATAAAGTGAGCTCCAGTTACCAGCTACTCTATGAAACAGCTGGTAGTTATGGGAACTTTTTACTTAAGTACTTTTCGAAGCCCATATTTTTTTACTTTGACTTGAGTAAAGAAGTTTAGTCAGTACTTTTACTTTTACTAGAGTATTTTTAAACACTAGTATCTGTACTTCTACTTGAGTAAAGGATGTGTATGTGTGTACTTTTGCCCT